CTCATTTCGAATACACACACACATATAACACCAACACCGCCGACCACCACAGCCCCCAACATCGCCGACCACCGCAGCCCCCAACACCGCCGACCACCGCAACCCCCCAACACCGCCGAGACCACCACAAACCCCCAACACTGCCGAGACCACCACAGCCCCTCGCCGCCGCCTCGACCCACCACAGCCTCCACCGCCGCCGTCACCAAAACCCCTGCGGCCCAGCCGTCTCAACCACAGCCCTGCGCCGCTGCCTCAACCACCAGCCCCCACCGCCACCGTCTACTACTGAATAAATTGGCAATAAAGAGATATAGAGATAGAGAGGTGAGAGGGAGAGAAAAAAAACAAAAGAGAAAGAAAAAGTGATACAGAGAGCGTGTGAGAGAGATGGAGAGAAAGAGAAAGAACGTGAGAGAATACCAAAAGAAACGTGAATGTGTAGGTTATAGAATTTAGAGTATAATGGCAAGATAGGGATAAAAAAAATGAAGGATGTGGCTCATATATTATTTCAATGTAAGAATTTATTTAAAAAAATGAATTTGATAGTTCAAATTAGGTTTTGTTTGAGGGGCTCATAGCATATTACCCCTATAAAAAATATATATATACCAGAGGATTTACACCCTAAGAGCATCTCCGATCGATCGCTATATCGTCATTTTTTCATCTAATTTAAGTATTTTTAGCCTTCTATCCGAAATTCCTATGTCACCATTACACCTAAAATTATGGATATTTGGTTTTAGCCTCCCACCGTGGTCAACCACCATATCACCATATACTCAAATCATATTTTTCCACCAATTGTTTTGGTGAAAGAATTTCCATCTCCCACCAGTCCACCATTTTCCTATTTTTTTCCACCAAATTCTATTTTTCCTACCAAATATAGAGTTGAAAATAGGATTTTGTATAATTAACACCATTTTGTTAAGTAGCATATAAAATGATGATTTTAACTAATTGCACCTGATTACCAACTTATTAGCATATTTATCCTAAATACTAGGGGTGTGCACGAGCCGAGCTCGCCTCTTTTGGCAGTCTCGAGCTCGAGTCTATTTTGTCAAGCTCGAACTCGTCGAGTTTGTTTTTTTAGGATCGAGCTCGAGTTCGTGCCATTTTGTCGAGCTCGAGCCTAAGCTCATTTTGTAGTTTTTTTTAATATTTTTTTATTATTATTTTATTATTTTCAAAATTATATTAGAAAATTACAAAATCCACCCAGAATTGTCATTATATATATTTTTTATTTTTATTTATTTCTATATTATTTGATATTATTATACATTATTTAATAAAAAATAATATAAAAAAAATAAATAATAATAATAAATAAGGCTCACGAGCCGGCTCGTGGGCTCAGAAACAACTAAAAACTAGCTAAAGCTCAAGCTTGAGCTCGAAAAACTCAAGTTCGAGTTCGAGTTTCTCTCGTGCCGGCTCATCGAGCTCACGAGTCGGTTCGGCTCGTTTACCACCCCTATTAAATACATTGGTGTTAATTACTCAATTAGTTTTTAAAACATAAATACATTTGTTATTATTAATAAAAACATTAATTCTAATAATATAAATGTTCTTATTTTTAATTAATTTATATATTTTTTTGATACCTGCGTTGATTAGTTCATTTATTTACTTAACTATGTTGGAGTTTTTCTTCTGAAGATAGTTCACTCGTCCAAGATGATCTCCATCTGTCCAGCGAACTAGGAGAATAGCCATTGAAGTTTTTTTCTTTTCAAGATAGTTCACTCGTTCAAGATGATCTCCATCTGCCCAGCGAACTAGGGGAATAGCCCTTGAAGTTTTTGCTTTTCAAGATAGTTCGCTCGTCCAAGATGATCTCTACCTGCCCAGCGAATTGGGGGAGTAGTTGTTGAAGTTTTTTCTTCTTAAGATAGTTCGCTCGTCCATGATGTAGTCCATCTGCCAAGCGAACTGGGGGAGTATTAGCACTGGAGTTTTTTCTTGTCACGATTGTTCGCTAGTCTAAGGTGCTCTCCATCTGCCCAGCGAACTGTGGGAGTAGCCATCAAAGTTTTTATTCTCAAAGATAGTTCACTCGTCCAAGATGCTCTCCATCTCCCCAGCGAACTGCGGGAATAGCTCCTTAAGTTTTTTCTTCTCAAGATTGTTCGTTCGTCCAAGATGCTCTGTATCTTCCCAACGAACTAGGGGAGTAGTTGTTGAAGTTTTTTTCTTCTCAAAATAGTTCACTTGTCCAAGATGCTCTCTATCTGTCCACCGAACTGGGGGAGTAGCTGTTGGTAGCTAGAATATTCAAAAAAAAAATTGCAAAACAAAGTTCGGCTCGAATAGACTTCGTGTCTACAAGCGAACTGAGGCGTAGTTGATCTGGGGCGGCAAGTTTACCCGATACAGCCAAGTAAGGAAAAACCCAACTTATTTTAGGCCCCCAAACTCCCATGATGCTGTCACTAGCCCATCATCCTTCCTCACAAGGAATGAGTGGCTGACATATGGGAATAGCTTTGCGGTTGACGTGACAACATGGACGAAAAAGTTTGTAGTGACAAAGACCGGAGAACCACCCATGTGGGGTCAAAGCGAGCCGTCCTCCAAAGCGAGCACTCAACTGGTAGAGAGCGAGCCCCCACTCCACATAACCAAGAGAGCTCGCTAACGCTCGTCGCTGAGAGACCAAAAATCCCGGAAGGTCACATCCCCCACGAAGGGGTATGGGTGCAAAGTGAAAGCGGGACCCATCGTCTTACCTATAGGGCATGCAGTCTTGAGGTACAAGTATGCATTAAGATTT